CTACAACTACTCCTCCTGCTGCTGCTGCTGCGGGTCCTCCGCCTTTTGCTCCTATTCCTACTCCAACTCCTACTCCTACTCCTTCTCCTACTCCTACAACTGGTACTGTCTACGACGACTACTACCATGACTCAACCTCCCCCTCCTACCACTACCACATCCACTACCACTACCACTACCACTGCGGCTGCTGCTGCTGCTGCTGCTGCTGCTGCTACTGCTACTGCTACTGCTACTGCTACTGCTACTGCTACTGCTACTGCTACTGCTACTGCTGCTGCTACTACTACTACTACTACTACTACTACTACTACTACTACTACTACTACTACTACTACTACTACAAAACCTACCACTGCTGCTACGACTGCGACGACGACGACTACTACCACTACGACTACCGCTGCAGCTACTGCTACCAGTACCAGTACCAATACCAGCACCAGGACCACCACCATTGCTACTACTACTACTACTACTACTACTACTACTACTACTACTACTACTATTACAACGACGACTACTTCTACTACTACGACTACCTTACTACTACTGCTGCTAAGTACTAGTGCTGCTACTGCTGCAAGTACTTACTACTGCTACTACTCAACTACAGCTAAAACGAGTACTACGGGTACAACCCTGAGCTGAGTACTGCCAGCTCCAACCACCACCACCAACACAGGAAGACGCCAAGACCAAAGTGCAGCCGTGTCGCTTGTGAGCCCGACCGAGGTCGCCTGTGTACCCGAGGGCTTTGGTGTGGGTTGCGGGTCTTTGGGTTTTTGGGCTGGAGCATTGCGGCTTAGGATTGCTCGAGTTTGGCGAGTTGCAAGAGCACGGACACAGAGAAAAGGAGAAAAGGCAAAGCTGGGCGACTTGGTGCTCGTGGCATTGTGCTTGAAACCCCCCCTCCCCTCCAGGCTGGCATGTCCTGGCTTGCTGTCCACGCTTCGCATGCACGAAGTGTAAGCAATCCCCGGCTGATCCCGGACAATCCTGCGCCAGACGTATCTCTTGGGATCCGCTCCCATGACGTCTTCTCGTCCCACCGCCAGCTGGCTCCCAATGGAGCATTGCATGCTTTTGTGAGCGTTAAGGCCCGGCCCCCGTTGGGTAAAGCCCAAAACCCGTTGGGATGCCAAGAAAACTTGAGAAACTAAACATTGAAATCATGGAGCTCATGGTGTTCTTGGGTGGGTCGCTGCTACCCTAGGTGTCTCTAACGACAGAGAACACCCGTGAAGACATGAAGAACCACATCTATCCTAAGCAACGAAGCCTACTTCGATGATGAGGCAAGGCGCTGATGATGCGAACTGCCTTCCACGGTGGTGGCAGCGGCTCCTTAGCTCGTAGTCTGCTTCTGGGCGTGGCTGCGGCTGAAAGTTGAAGATGCGGGGTTGGGCGGGAGTTTGGGGGATGGGTCTGGACGTCCATTGTACTCCCTCCTTCCTTCACCAGGCAAAGATTGTTCAAACTGTTCAAACTTTGCCATGTAAACCAAGACTGAAAGTGATGGTGTCGTTCTTCCAGTGGCTTTGTAAGCTAGCGTGCATTCATTGAAGGTGTTTCCGTGCCTTGATTGCTGCTTCCGAATCCGAGCTGTTCACCTGCACCCATGTCGAATAGCAAATTTTCAAGACCGTTACAGCACCTAGTGACTTAATGTAAACTCACCATGCAATTTGGCGCTTTTGCAATAAGGTTGGAAGATTTGGGATGTGTGGTGTTCATGCAAGTGCCTTCCCTACACAGAGACCTACAGCCCCAAATGCTGCTCCAAGCTCTTCGAAGCCGTTTCCCATCCCCGCAAACCCAGAAAGCCCCCCCCCCTCTACGCAAAGAGAACACCGGGAGCCCAACTATTTATGCGGCGGGGTACTGGTTCTACAATCAGAAACAAAGCCCTGTTCGTGGGAGCCCTTTCATCAACTTTCTGCCGAAGCTCTGGTGATGCGGGGGAAGGTGCATTGTGACTCGCCTGGGGGTTTCTGGCAGTCAAGTTGAAGCTTTTGAGAATAACAGCGTAGGGATTCAGGCTTGGAGGATTCGAGCTTCTGGGTTCCACGGTTTCACGGCTTTCCAGGTTCAGTGTGCAAACCGCTTTTCGCGCCAAGTCACCAAACGTCAAAACGTCATGAAAGTGTATTTCAATTCACCAAGTTTGAGCCTCTGACAAAAGCCACAAGCAGTATTCCCTCAAACAGAACCTAAAGGAACATGCAATATATCCCGGTGGCATACCTTGCAATGGAGCCTACGAGCCCTACGAACTCTAAAACAACCCGAACCACAAGTTCCAAAACCCTAAAAAGTCTGAATTGTGGAGAACACATTGACTCGTAACGGGGATCACTCTATAAGGCAAAGTATATGAACCGCAGTCATTCGGCTTTGTTGACCTGGGTAATACTCTTGCGAACCCCTGTGGCGGTCTTACAAACCTTGATGTCCTTCTTCCTTAAAGGCTCAACTCGACGAAGCTCAATGCCACAGGCTTATATAATTGGCGGTCCGGATGTCTTTACGCGATTGGTATTTAGGTTCAGGCCGCCTGTGCATTGGTAAGTTTGTATCAGGAGCAAAGAAACCTTCGGGAGTTCGGAGTAGGAGGTTGCCAAGCTCCATCACAAGCACTCAGCCTCTACTTGCTAACTGCTGGCCAATTAAGAAGACATCCTCAATGCCCAGGTTTTGTAGAACTTGTATACGGTCCTACTACAAGGGTGGAAGCGTTCGCTTCACCGTGCAGTTGGCTTGGTGCAGATTCCGTTTCGAAACATGCCTTCACGAGAGAAGCCCTACCTCAAGCACATTAATATAGGGGCCTTAATAATTAGAATCGGATTGAGGCCCCTACATTATTCCAGTAGCCGAGGCCAAGCACCCGCCACCGAAGACTGTACCGACAACTGCACCCAAAAGCTCTGACACTGCCGGGGAGCCAAATGGGGCGCCAGAAGCCTCGAGAATCGTCCCGGAGTTGCCGCCAGGTTGACGGGTCCTTCGGGCATGGTAGCACCTGCCAGTAAGAAGAGGAGGGTTCGGCGGCCAGCAAAAATCACAGCAGCGGACTAGCGGACGTATATTGGTGACCTCTCTCTCATCCTGTGCAGTGTTTAATCCAAGGCTTCGGTAGTACATGCACACACAAGCTCCAGAAGCCTCAAGATGTATGATAGAGCCGGGAGCAAACAGAGGGAACCTGATTGTAACAGCCGCGTATGAAGGAACACCTAATTTGTCTGCAGACGTAGAGTTCTAGGTCTTTAGAAGGCTTCAGGTGGGGTCTTGTGGGGCCCCAAAACAAAAGGTATAACAGTGCGATCTAGTTTCGGGTTTTTGGGGTTCGGGCTCTATCGGGTTGGGTTTGGGGCTGGCTGTCCGCATCCGCAGGGCTCGATTGATGTAAAGAAGGGCATGGGGAAGCCTCTGTCTCTTTCTCTGCTTTTTCCCTCAGTTTGGGTTTCGGTGTCTCTCTGACTCCCGCTCTCTGTTTCTTTAGTTGTATGTCGAGCATGTAATTGTGGTTGGTTAGACCCAGAGAGCGAATCCCAACAACCCTTGCTAAGGTAACGTGAGCTGAGGGGCTGAAAGTTATTACCCGAAGCAACTGCAAGCAAGCTGCCGTACAATCTCTGCGGTTTGAAGTCACAGCGCCATGGTTGGCTTGCCGCTCACGTGGCGAGCGTGCAAGCAGAGGTTGCTTAAGGACGCCAAGTCCCCAGCAACAGCCATGGCATCGTCGAATCGCAGAACAGAAGCAAGAACCCTAATATAGGGGCCTTAATGATTAGAATGATTAGAATAGGGTTTTGGGGCCCACTATACTTTATAATTCTAGACTTGCAATAAGGAACCCGCCAAAGTAGTAGAGGTAATTGTTTAGGCCCCTATAGTACTATAGTAGAGGCTCTAAAGCTGAGTTGCTCGGGCTTCGAACCCTGAAGGATCGAAGTGGGAGCCGCCCCGACATAAGGGTTTTACCAAAGCTTCTGGCCGACAAACTGTCCAGGGCGCTTTTCTGCTTGCCGGGTTGAGTAGGTCGCTAGGTTCAGAGTTCAGCGTTTGGCATGAAGGGCTCCGAGTATAGAGTATAGGGTTTGCAGTCAGGCTTCAGGCAGGATCGTTCCTGGGTTCAGAGTCTTTTGAGGCCTAAGCAATCACCTTCTTTGATATTGCACTTCCTGCCAATGAGTGAAGCACCTGGCGACGATCCGGCCTCAGCGCTTGAGAAAAAAACAGCTGCAATCATCACGTTAAGAGGTCAACTGTTTCTTAGGCGAGGCATTCAATGCTGAGCCCCGAACACCAATACATAGATCCCCAAACACCAATCGCAGATAGCCTCCAAAGTACCAACAGTTCAACCCTACACCACCTCGATGAATCTCAAACCATGAACCATCGAAACACAAACGAGCAATCCGGACCTACAAACGACAACTGTGAAAGAAAGGCGTGACCCACTGGCCGAGAGGTCGCGGGGGCTTCAGTGCTATTAGCGGATTGCGCAACGATGCTTGCAATCTGGGAGTGGGGCGTTGTGCGCGAAGATTGGCCCAGTTAAGACAAAAAGTACATCCTAAAGCCTAGCCTCCCGACGGACAAAATCCTGCATCTCTCATACTCCGAAATGCACCCCAGCTTTATGTATGTTGTAGGATACTTCAGGCAAGGCACTCTTTCAGTTCATGTCGCACTTCGGCACTTGGACAAGCGAAAGTAAACAGGCCCAAACTGAGGAACGGCGATCTTACTGCACCGGGTACTACAAGAACTGGCAGGCGAAATCGGCGAAATCATTACCGATAGGTGCCATCAAAGGCTCACTACAAAAATTGGTGGCAGCCCCGCATCAATACCGGCAAGGTCTTGCTTCACTCGAATACTATAGGGGCGTATGCAGTGTGGGACGAAGATGTTGACAGACCAAACTGTTGAAATTCAAACATGCACACGTGCAACAGGACGTTTATGTACAATGTTAGAGGACCCTACGGAATCATGTCACCCATTCTGGACGCTAAAATGTTATCCACATGAACATGGAACACCACAGCCGCAACACATGGCCGGGACCCTTTGTAATTTCTGCTTGTAGACTGTTTTCCATCCTGTCTGCAGCAGCAGAGAAACCCAGAACCCGCAGGAACCTCCCCACATGGCGGCCCCTGAGCCTTGGCACAGACAGAATCTCTTTTGCAGAGCGCTGGCTCGTCCAGCTCTTGCATCAGATTCGCTTCCAACACGCGGAAAACCGCACCCAGGTAGCGCGTCCAGAATTCCTTGGAAGTGGTGGGCTGCTCTAGGTGTACAGGGTTGCGTACATGATTAGTATCAAGGCATATTATGCTCATTGAACAAAACAACTAGAACTTGAACCTAGATAAAGAAAGGAAGGAGGTCGCTCGTTGTCGGAGAGGCTCGTGTATTCCCAGTAGACTTTTCTCTCCTCAAGGTGCCTAAAGACAAAACCCTCACCCCTACACCCGGAGCTTGCCACCCTGAATTCTGACGCAAAGGGAACGGCTGCCACCACAGACCCACGAGTGCTTCCATAAATCATATGGGAGTTTCCGGAAATAGGGGACCCTAATATAGTACCCTAAATAGTAGGATCCTTACTATGAGGACCCCCAAAATAAGGTACCCCCATTTTCGGAAGCTCCCATATGATGTGCGACAACCGCAGCAAGCCGGATCTGACCATGGAAGAAATAGTAACAAGAGTAGTGCTGCTCAGGGAGGGCCAGGCGCACTCACGGACTGCGCCCTCAGGGTCATCATTCGTAATAGTGCTCTCTATTCGTATATAGGGGCCTTAACAATTAGAATAGGGTTTTGAGGCCCATTATACTATCATTATAGTAGGGAGCCCCCAAAAATAGTATTGGTAATGATTAGGTTTCTGTAGTATATCTTGAAGAATCTTGAAGTCTTCGGGGATTCGGGATTTCTGGACCCCGCGCTTGCGCCGCTGTGCCTCCTCGGCGATCTTCGCCGGCACAAGGCGGAGGCGCAAACCTGTCATGCAATAGGGGCCCCCATAATTGTAGCTGTCATTTTTCTACTATGGCTTATCATATATACCTGTCATGAATAACTATTCAGCAATTAAAAGATGGTTTTGGGCTTTGTTATGCTGTAATTATGATGAGCATTGTGGCATTGTAATGTGGAACTCCAAAACCGTTTTTGTAATAGCGTAGGTTCGCTAAACCCTAACCAAAGTCTCCAGGAGGTTTGTGTGTTTGAGCTCTGAACTTTAAACCCTATAGTCTCAAACCGTAAAACCTGCATCGCCGAATGTGATTAAATCCGAGATTTTCTTCAGGTTCAATCCTCTTGTGTTTAGGGCCACTGGGTTCCATATAGTTTATGGTGTTAGGGTTTAGGCTGCATGGCTTTTAGGGCGTTGTGCAGAAGCCTGCATTAGCAAGGTTTCGGCGGGTTTTCTGCCACGCATGTCTCCTACATAGGGGCCAGCAGTGCTAAGTGTGCATTCATTTGGGCCCGAAGCTCGTCTTGTGGGCCAAGCATGGTCAAAGCTTTGCAGCTTTGCTTCGGGGTCTCGGCTGGGTGTTTAGGGTTTAGGATTCGGGCCAGTCTAGCATCTCCGGATTGTTGGGAGTAGATCCGTGCTCAGGATTCGGATGTGCTGGGACCAGGGTTCAGGGTGTCAAGTCGGGGGGTCAAAGGGTGGAAGATCTACGATGCCGCATCGTGGACGTAGAATCCCCTAACAGCTCCGAAACCGAAAGAGCCGAACGCTAGATACTCTAAACAGTCCCGGGAAGTCAAGATCCCTACCCTGAGGCGCTACACCTACTTCACAACCTCCAGGAATCACAACATTCGGTGACATCATTAGAAACTTTCCTGGCCCTTCCCGGATGCAGCCACTGGTACTCCGCAAGGAGGGCTGGCGATCCAAAAGAGCCTGAGCCCAGCCTCGGATTGAAAAGGTGCTCTCTTTGGGGATTTTTGGGGTTTAGGACTGGGAAGTTTAGGATTGGTGACTCGAGAGGAATCGGAGGCGAACTGAAATTGGCACCTCCACCGGCACTCTCAGGATCTATTGAGCATTGGGAAGAATGGTCCTGGCAATTGAAGTCCTACGTGCCATTGTTCAAAAACGGGTTAGGGTCTTAAATGTTAAAAAGCTCCTCAGAATTGAAGTCTTCGGCTTAACGGTTTTTGGGTTGGAGGGTTGATGGTTTACGGTAGGGCTGTGGATCTGGACTTAGGGTTCACTCGGGTTTTAGGATTTAGGTGTTAAGGCATTGGATTCAGGGCTTATCGTTTGCTAGGGTTGTTTCGCAGAGTAACAGCGGAAATTTGCATTCATCCTACACCCGAAACCCTTCTTTCTAGACCCCTGAACCCTAAACCCCACAAAACTCAGACAAAGAAACACACCCCACAAACCCGCAAACACCCTCTCCACCCCAACCCCAGCGTCCCCAAACACCCCCTTGGCACGCCCTCGAACAGGATCAATGCATCCAAACCCCGAAGAGCTACGCCTCCACCCGAAAAGCCCCGAACTTTGTTAACATTTCAGCCTCTCAAGGGGCTGGCAGGCACTGCCGCTGCGAACTCAGGGCCGGTGGGTGGGCACAGCTCGAAGAACACCTGTCAGGTTGCTTGTGGAATCTGGGTGCAAAGTGTAGGGTCTTGGACCGCATATACAAGGGTCCCGAAGGATCTTGTGTTCAGGTGCCTCTCGAAACTGGGGTTACCTTGCTCAGGGGTCCTGATACCAAGAATGGGTCCTACTAAATGTCTCTAATCATTAGGCTCTGGCCTTTTCATCCCATGTTTATGCTGCTTCAGAACGTTCTTTGTTTAAGGCCCAAGGGCTTCCGGGTTTGAAGGCTTTGCCTTTGTCAGGTTGATGCTTTGCACCTGGTCCTGTCGGATCTCACTTTGTTCCCTGCTCGTCTTATCAGCCCTGAACTTCAAAAATCTGAACCCTCTTTGAGCAGGGACTCCAATGCACTAAATTCCGATTCTGAACCCTTTTGCTGCAGGCTTACATGCAAGGACGCCTGGTCGTTTGCCGCTCTTCCGCCAGTTAGGAGTGTGCTCGGGAATGGGCCCCTAGCTTCTGAGCATTCTGAACCCTAAACCCTAAAAACATGAAGCCCTGAAACCCTAAGAGCCCTGAACCTCAAACTCTGAACCACATGCTCTAACTGTTACACCAACACGGACCCGCAAAATCGGCCGATTATTAGACCGCTACCGTCCTCCCTTTAGGCTTCGGGGTTTGGAGTCCGAGATCCGAGAAACTGAACCCTGAACCCCCCAAGCTCGAAATCCCGACGCCACTAGACTGTCTCTACGTCCTCAACCATACCTGTAGATCCAAAGCAAATATACGGTTTGAGGGGCATCATTCATCCCTCTATGAGCCGTTAAATGCCTGACTCAAGCTTTCTAGCATCGGCAAGAGTGCTGCAACTTTCGACCCTTTGGGAGTATCACAGCTACACACCCGGAAAGCCCAAAGCCACCCTCAACTAAAGGAGGCTTCCCCATGACAGTACGTGTCATAGGGCTACTTATCGTTGTGATGTACCGTCTTTTCCATTCAAGGGTTTCCTGGGTGCTGGGCAACCTCCCTCACCGAAGCCTGGCCCTTGGAGGCCTCCAGCTCTGTAAGGGAGCTCAGAGAAGGCTCGGCAGCGCTGAGAACGCGCAGGATCGCCTGATTACGGGTGGGGTGCGCGTGAAAACTGTTGGAACCTGACTCCGAGGAACCCGAAGTCACCCGAATAGAATGGAGTTTTTTTGGGAGGGTGTGGGTTCACGACGACAACAACAGCAAGATAATCAGAGCTACTATCGATTTTTGTAGGTCACCCGGACCGAGACGACTACAATCCGCTGAGGCGTTCCGGATTCTTTCTTGGGGGTTTGCAGCGTGGTGCAAGAGCACCTTGTTGAGCGTGTTTCGTTGGCCTTGCCATATGCTGAAAAAGCCCGAATCAGAATGTTCCACAAAGGCGGCATCTGTGAACTTCATGTCGTCGGTTTGTACAGGTACAGCTCAGCGATGTAGGCGGCTTCAAACATTGACCCTCCCACATGCGGGAGCAGTAGCGGTAGTCTTTCCCCCCGAAGCACTGCTAACTCCTAAACCCCGAATCCTATGTATATATGAGTATCTTGATCTTGTCTGGCTACTGGACTCAAGTCTAGCCAGACCTTCACCTGCAATCATCTTGATCTTAAAATCTGAACCCCTGAACCCCGAACCACTTAATCGGCCCGGTTCTGCCGATCGCCTTCTAGGACGACGACAAGCCTGAAGCCGGTGCCCGCATGCCAAAATAATGAAAATACTGTAGGGGACTAAATGCTTACTAGGGGGGGTTTAACACACATCAGGGCGCATAAATATGCATCACCCCATGTAGACGCTGATTTGAGGGAATTACACATCAGCGCCGGAATTACACATCACACCAACCTTAATCCCGAAGGTGACGCTGGATTCTGTTGGTCGTTGCCAACTTAACGAAACATAACGAAACCCTCGCGGACGCCAGTGTTCTCGGCACGGACGGCTGCCATTTTGATGCTGCATTGATGCTTTTTAGTAGCGAATCACGAAGGTGACGCTGGTTTCTGTTGTTGCACCACTACAGCTGCATCTATCATATCTTACTGTATAAAGTCACCAACCATACACCACAAGCTCGTCAAACACCATCTAGACGCAGTGAAATGGTAGAAAACCTATTCGATTCTGTATTTCCCTGGAAAACCTATTCAGCTCTGCAGCTCTCTGACCAAACATGCACCACCAACCCATCAAGCACCATCTAAACACAGTGAAATGGTAGAAAACCTGTTCGATTCTGTATTTCCCTGGAAAACCTCTTCCAAACATGCACCACAAACCCGTCAAACACCATCTAAACGAAAATGCACAACCCCAGAGTGGACGCTGAAATAAAGTGAGGTTGGGATGTATGCCAGAACGGCCTCCGAAATGCTTAACCGCAACGTGGCGCTGAAACGATTGATGTTTGGATGTATTGCCAGAACGGGCTCCGAAATGCCGAACCGCAAGGTGACGCTGAAACGGTTGATGTTTGGATGTATGCTAGGGCGGGCTCCGGCATGCTTAACCGCAAGGTGACGCTGAAACGGTTGATGTTTAGATGTATGATAGGCCGGGCTCCGACATGCTTAACCGCACGGTGACGCTGAAACGATTGATGTTTGGATGTATGCTAGGCCGGGCTCCGAAATCCTTAACCGCAAGGTGGTCGCCGAAAGATGTGTATTTCCGCAACGCGATGCGAGTTAAACCCTCCCCTCGTACCAATACTATTTTGGGGGGGCTCCTTCTTATAGTTATTCTAAGGGGCCTCAAAAACCCTATCTTAAGTATCTGTAGTTATTCTAAGGGGAGAAACCCTGAAACTACAATGATTAATCATCAATCATACTATGGTGGTGGTTCTCATCCTCCGGGGGTGAGGACCCTAAACCCCTAAACCCTGCAAAGCGGGCCTCATCTGCCAGATCGTCTCTATAGGCTTCTGGGTCCCGCAGCTGCATCCGAGAAAAAGCCTGTCAGCGTCTAGCCCAAACACGGGGGGACTAGTAGTTCGATAGGGCTTGTTTTGCGGGTGTAGGGTTCGAGGTCTTAATGGCTGTACAGGGGGTCCTTTTAAAGTTACGTGTAGCTCGAAGTATCCCTACTTGAGCTCTCTTTGTTCCTTCGGATTGTTAGAGGCTCAAGCTTCAGGGTCAGGCGGGGTCTTGGGGTTCAAGGCCATGGTCTGGGGTTTTCGGCGCTCACACTCGGACAATCCAGGCGAGGCATGTGGTTCGGAGTCTGACGAGTGAAACTTCGCCAGGAGGCGTAGTCAGTATCGCACCAACAAAGGTCTAGGGTTTTAGGGTTCAGGCTTTCAAGCCGTGAGACACTTGTTCAAAAGCCGCTTAGCCACTCAGACTCTTCAAGCCCTTGACTGGTGATCGAAGCCATTGTGCTTGAATGCAACTTTTCAGCGGTTTTGAACCTGGGTATGTCAAGCTTTAGGACTTTAGGGTTGACCATAAAGATTGAAGCCATACCCCTTCGGTTCGCCAATATGTTTCTCCAACTCCTGGCCAGACCCAAAACCGTAATGACAAGCCCTGTCAGAATACATCTAAAGGCTTAATAGCTAATTCCTGAACTCCTGAACCCAAAAGTGCTGGGCTGTTGAGGTTCCTCCGTTGCATACAACTTTGCATCGAAGGGCGACATTTAAACGAAGCTCCTATGACAGCAGCACGGTCTACTTTTCGGACTCTCGGAAGTAAACGACGGATGTGGCTCAGGGCCACGCCTTGCGAACGAGCTGCGTCCAGGGATACACCTGCACGACGCTTAAAATTATCCCTTCATGTTAAGTATGCTCAGAAGCAACCCTACTATCCTCACTCAGCCAAACAAGCTAATTATGTTTGTATGGATGTGTGCATGTATGTATGTTCATATGTGATGCACACACGCACACACAGACACACCGAAGCACTGACATATCCCTTCTTCATGATCCCTTCTCCATGCCAAGATCAGGGCGAAGACCTTCCAGTCCTTTTGCGATGCAATACGCATCGGTCTGTAAGGGTTGCTCACTCTCTCTCTCTCACTCTCTCTCTCTGCCGTTGCTGGCAGTAGCGCCAGGCCACGCGTGAGACTAAGGCCCCTCACGAACACGAAAACAGCGAGCAAGCAACTGTAAGGGTCTATGTTGACTCGTTGTTCCACATCTTAGGCTCCATCGAATGCCCTCCGAGTGGCTTCTTGCAGTCGAGCTCGCCCCCCGGGAACGTCCTGGGGCTAGATTCGGATTCGGGGTCTGCGACAAAGCTGGGTCTCCATGGGTTCTGGTGGGCCTTTGGGTTTCGGGTTTAGTTCGTGGAACTCAATTGTATCATGTCGGCTGTAGGCCATAGCGTACATTTCCGCAAATAACGCTGAAGACACCACAAATCCCTGCAAACTCTGCGCCTTAAAGACCAAAAAGGTCCCTCAGAACCCCGTAATATAGAGGCCTTAATTATCATAACAGAGATTTCGGGCATGCTCTAGTGGAATATAAATATACTTGGGAACCATAAGGACTAATATCGAGGCCCCCATAAGGATTTTTCTGAAATGTCCTCCACACTTTGCAACTCTTGCTCCGTCTCCGCGGCATGGGTGCTCCCCATTCTAGCCTGGAGGTTGCCCTACATTTCAGTGGTTGTGGCGTTTCTGTAGGGTTGCAAAGAAACGGTCTAGGACGACAAGTTTGAACAGGCTTTATAGTAGACGCCGGCAAGCTACAACACAAGGACCAAACAACTACGCATCTTTTTGGCTTCTACTTCAGATCTTGGAAATTCATCAGGCTGGCCACTGTTTCGTTTTACCAGATAAGAACCACAGAAGCGCTTATGCAGAAGACGTGCCGCAATCCAGGGCTGAGGGTTAAAGGTTGAGCAGTTGAGGCTTGTGGCACGCACTTCAAGGCTTCAGATTTCTCCCGAAGATGATGGACAACCTTATTAAGAAATCCTTCTGTTTCTCAACCTCCGGTCGCCCCAATACGAGACACCAAACCCCGGACCCCCCGACCGCCTAGGGGAAAGAAGCTTCGGGCTTTTGATGCTAAATGGTTTGTACCCTGCTGTTAGCTGCTAGCCCGGAAGTCAGCGCCGCCGGCAGTGCCTCCACAAGAGCTACAGCAACAATTCCTGAAGCACTGGCTGCAGTACGGCCAGCAACTGTTTATCGAGAACGTACCCGACGCCAACCCAGCAGTCTCGTGTCGCTGCACAACTCAAAATTGACTCCGAACCTTTCAAGAACTACAGACTCTTCGGTAAAAGTGCATAATGGAACCACCTTGCCTTTTCCTCCAACTATCCAACAAGATGAGACTGTCAGAGCCAGAATCATGCGAAACTACAGGAGCCACGACAGCTTAAAGGTTGGATACTTGGGAACTCAGTAGAAAAAAGAGCCAAGCAGATCAAGCATGCCGCAAGCCCTGCGCAAACCAGTCATCAGGCATTCAAGTCTACATCTTTTAGAAGCCAGAATTTGTAAGGTTTGGATAGGGTTCTCATAGCATTTTCTACAAGGGTCCTTTCAGGCATTATAGACCCCCCGCCCAACTCTCACATGCTTTGCAAGCCGCAATCAGAGACGGAGAAATGAAGGACGAAGGCAAGGTCCATAAAGTCGAAGGTGCACAAGGCAGATGAGATCTGTAGAAAGCTTTGAGGGATAGTAATAGGTTGTAATTAATTCGGGCTGCGGCTTACAGTATAGAAGAATGGAGTAAGCGCGGATGCTTTTGCTAATCGTGCTTGCTTGTAATTAGCCTTGTTGGCACTATGTTGGGACTGTACTACCCGCGCATTACTGAAAAAACTCGTACACAATGAGAGACCCTTGTTGGGAGCAACTGATAAGCTATGTTGAGGATCATTCCCTCCTTTTGTAATAGACTTTAGCCAGGAGAGCTGCGGCATCACAGGAAATGCGAGACACGTGCACCGTTCTGTGCCCGAACCTTACATCAAACTTGGCAGCACTAGGGCCTTGGGTGTCGTGCAAGTAGGGTAATGGACACTGACTCGGTAGCACTTTCAATGGTGTCCATCATGTGAGGGATCTTCTCATATCTTCTCTTAGAGAGGCTGCATGATATATGTTCTGGGCTGAATATGATTTGAAGAAGAGACCCCATATGGGACCTTCGACAGAAGGAACCCTGCCTTCATCTAGGGCCCTAAACCCATCAAGGAACCCCAAGAGCTGTAGTTTTTCGTGTACCCTGGAGAATGTGTGTTTCTGTCTCACCTGGCCCCATGTTGGCCACAATAAAAGTTGAAGCACCGCTAAGCAACTCAAGTTCGAGTATCCCCTTGTTGCCTTTGAAAGGGTCTACAGGAAATAGGAATGTCTGGCGTTTTGACGCGCCTTGGGTCGGGAATGCTTCTGAAGGTGTTTTGCAAGCAGGGACAACTGAAAACACACTTGCACAGGAAGCACTTCCTGAGCACAATGGAAAGCTTGGGTGTTGGGGTTGGGGCTGAGAGTTTCAAGGTCTGAGGGTCAGGGCAAGCATTTTGGGCAGGTGGAAGAAATATGCTCTGCATGCTCGCCTTTTCTGTGCAAGCTGGGGAATGGGCGGTCAGGGTTTGCGGTCAATGGGTGGTGGGATCTGTCAGATTGCCCCCTCAGGGGGCTCGTGCAACAGTTCTGGACGCTGGCGCAGGCTTGGATATCGTGGCAAGAGGAAGGGTTCAGATTTTTGGGGGTTCAGGTGGAATTCAGCGGCTCAAGTGAATGCAAAAGGGTCTGCAAAAAGAGCTTGCCATGGAGGTGGTATAGGGCACCCCGGAAGAAAGTCGCTCCGGATAGGCTGTACTCTGCGCAAGTCCCTCAGGCTCTAGACTAAACGCCTAAGCAGCCTCAAACTCGTTAGGGTCGCCAAACCCTAAACTAAACCAAGGGCCTGCAAACGGCCTCCCCTCTGCTGGGCCCATCGACGTCAGTTGAACCCAGAAGTCGACCGAAGCCTCTGAAACTCTCTGAAACCCTGAACTCTTAAAGAGTACATCCCCTAAGCCACAAGCAACCTTTAAACGCGGAAGCCTTGACGCTCTCGTCTCTATCATCTGAAGCCGAAAAACCCCAAATTCCAATTGCTTAGAAAGCTCTCACGCCAGGATCCGCAGGCAAATCGCTTGCTTGACTATACAAAGATGATCTCCTCTCTGGGTCCCTTGCTTATGCCGTGTTTAAGGCTTCAGGGTACAAGAATCTGGGTGGTTATAGGAATCAAGCGTTGAGGCTTGGAGGTTCTGAATGCCTCGACTGGATCTTCGCTGGAATCGGGAAAGGGCTCTGACATCCATTTCATCAAGTGCACCCAGGGAGACTGTACATTACTAGAATAGCGCTGTCAAGATTCATGAATTCGGTGAAGGAAGCACTGGCCTTCCCACGGCTAAGGTGCCACTGAAACAACCTTGCTTGAGTCGCTAGAGGCTGAGTATCAAGCCTCGCAAGCTGATGAGTAAAAGCCTAAGGCCGCATCCCACAGAAACACCAACCTCCAAACCCAAACTCTGCAACTCCAACAAGCAACGAACAGCTCATAGCTCGCTCTGACCCCTCAAAAGTGGCAGGAGCAGCGGTAGGAACAGGAGATGGAGAAGATGGAGTAGAGGTGCTGGTAGAGGTGGTGGTAGTGGAGGTGGAGGTGCTTGTAGCAGTCGGCATCGCCCTATGCCTGGTCCTAGTCCTAGTCGTAGTAGCAGTAGTAGTCGTCGCCGTAGCAGGACTTGTGCTAGTACCAGTGAGGCGCCATGCTACGGTAAGAACTTCTAAGGTAAAGGCCTACTCAAGCACGTATATATATATATATATATGTGCAAACTGGAACCTTAAGTGCAGCCATCTTTCGTCTCAAGGGTGTCGGGTCGAAGCACGGGCAGAGAGCAAAACGTGTCAGAGCCACAAACAGCAAGAGCAGAACAGCACCAAGACTAAGCAGCAACTATAAGCTTCGTAGTGGTTGTAGCAGTACGCCTCCTTCAGGCTTCAGAAAGTGAGGTCGGCAGGTGCTTCTGCACTCATCTACTGCACTTCCTCACGGGCATCAGCTGACCGGGTAGAGCCCCCCTCGGCGTCTGTGCGATGGCTAAGTCTCATGCAAGCAAGATCGAGAAGTCGCCGCATGAGTTCGGCACGCAACTGCGCCCCCTACATTACATCTTCCAGAATCTGCAAACATTCAGACATGGAAAAGCCAAGACCCCCTGCGCATTTACAGCCACAAAAAGCTCCAAACGTCCTAAATCACGAGAACCCAAAAGCCCTATGATATTTTGCTCGAAATCTTTCAGCTCTTTCTCATTCTGATAGTCTTTGTCCTTTCGCTTTACACGGCATTCGAAGTTGTCCTTCTTTTGTTCTCCTGTCGTTTTCCGGACGGATCACCTTCTCAACTTGAGGACGGTCTGGCTCTTCAACGCGATAACAGGGAAATTTATCATCTCTCAGTTGCTAAAGAAGAAGTGCGAAATCATCAGCCTTCCCTAATCGCCTCATCGCCAAGCGATAACGTCACTTTCGCCGGCAGTCTACAGCACCCCAAGACAAAACACTCGCTTGCCGAGCGAACAAACCCGAAAACCCTGCAGACAATATGCTGCTAGCTTCTGAGGCTGCATTTCCAAATCCTGAAACTGTCACACCGATGGCCCAGAACCTTTCCATCAATATTGCATCGGAAGCATGGGCATAGACTATGCGTAGAAGCCCAAACTGGCTCTAAGCCTCTGACGCAGAACGTCCATGATGCTGCATACTTCTTCCTCAAGAGCTTCGCGCTCCTGTGACGACTGAAGGTTTACGGTCTACAAGGCTTCGCTACATGGTAACGCCAAATAGAAGAATTTCAGGTTTAGGGCTTACGGTTCGCTTGAGATAGCATCGTTACTCTAAGTGTTCTCATGACCATTGTGTTGCTGGGTTCCCTCGCATCATCAGCGGTCTCGATGTCGTCTCCCCTACACCCATGAAACAGAATCACTTTTCTTTTCAGGGACCTGGGTTTTCGAGGTTGCGGCAGCAGTTGTGGCATCAAAATAGTGTAGGGCTGATAGGGCTTTAGGGTTTTATGGTCTCGGGTTTTTGGCTTGGTCCATTGCGCGCAACTTGCACGTGATTTTGTGGTTTAGAAGATGTTCATCTTCCGGCACGTGTGTATGAACGGTGCATCGTTTCGGCACTCACACTCGGACCAGTGGGAATGCCCCAAAACACAGCAGATTAGCTGATGGCAGACTTCATTACGACGACGAACGACTCGTTGCACACCCCTCTTGCAACCGCGTAATGGCCACTACCTCTCAAGACCGTAACCGATATATCACTGCTTCAAATCTCAAACCACATTCGAACCCCAGCAAGCTTTCTAAACTCGACGAGTCAAACTCTAAATTTCGAGTCAAACTCTAAATTTCTAAATCTCTGGCACTCCCATGGTTGAGGGCCTAAGGGTTGCGGCTCACCCTCCTGAAAACAGCTTTCCATGTCAGCCCCATTCCGTAAACCCGAAAGCAGCTTCCAAAAGCACACAACACCTCTAAGTTAAACCCCATGCAGGTGAAGCCCAAACTTGCAAAGCCCCATAAACTTTAGTTCCCTC